GAAAGCATTTAGACCTCAGTTTTTTTTCATTAAAGCTTTGTCACCACTTAAGGAACTTAGGTAAGAGATGGGAGTTTTGAATAGATAAATTTATATAATATCAATTTTTTATTTTTTATTAAAAGTTTATTATAAGTATTTATTGTGTTTAATAATATATTTTACTTTTGATTTTATTTTTTATCAAAAAATCCATTCTAGCTCTATATAATATCTTATTATTGCTACTTAAAAAGAATTTAATATTTGTTTCTATTAATTTTGTTTTACTTACAGTATAACTAGAATATCGATTTTTTTTTTCTAAATTTCTCTAATTAGATCCTTTTGATTAGAAATTTTAATTATTCCTTAATATTATAAACATCAATTTTTATTGATTTTACATCAATCATTGTTATTACACAAAAAAGAATTGTTTGAGATATCTTGCTAAATTAAAATTTTTCCTGATTTGTGTTGTGTTATAAAAAGTTGATCATATTTTCAATTGGTACTAGACATTTCATGTTTTATTAAGGCAGGTCAAGATATTGTATCTGGAATCATTTGGAATATTAATAATAGACCTTCCTAATCTTTCTCTACTTCAATTAGCATGTCTTAGAATCAACTTACCCGTTTCCATTTAGAGTTTATCTATTCTGCTGTTTAATTGCTCTGGCATCTTTTTTTGGTAAAGGTATTACAGTATATTGTTTTTTGAATTTTTTACTATTCTCCGAGTTCTTTGATATCCGAAATTGTATTCTTACATTGTTTCTCTTCTCACATGTCCCATATGAAAATTGTTCTTTTTAGGATATGCTTAACTTCTAACGTGATAACAATCTGGGCAACCGACAATTGGACAGTCGCGCTCAAAAATTCTTTAGGACGCAACAATTTTTTAAATATCCATGTTCGACTAATATTAATATGCTGTATATAGCAAAAAATAATTCGAATGCATCATTATTCTTATTTCAAAGAAAACATGATTAAGTAATTGCAGAAAATCAAAATATTTAATAAACAAAATCCCTTCTAGAATTTATCTTTTTTTTTTTTTTTTTTTTTTGTATCATGGTGTTCGCCCATAAAAGGATTCAATAATGGATTCTCAAATTTCAGGTATTTACATCGCGAGAATGGATCATGAGGCATACAGTATGAAGTTACCTTCCCACAGCCAAATTGAGACAAAACATGAAAACCGGATCGTTGTTTCGCTACCTACAGTCTGTGGCTAGTTTAATAAATATTGTTGTGCTTGGCCAGTTCTCGCTAAGGTTCAGGTGTGGTGAAGATTAAGAATCAGATAGCCGAGTACGGAAAATTTGCTTAGCCTCACGCCAAATAAAATGTGTAATTGACTGTCATAATTCGGGTGACGAATGAATGCTTCACGTGAGATTACACGAAGTGATTCGAACACCGTCCCGTCAAAAAAAAACAAAGTCAAGAAAAGAAAAACTTTGAAAATTCACAAGCACGTTGATTTTTGTTTTGACATTATTAATATTACTTTTTTTTTTTTTTTTTGTTTATTTCACAGGAAAAAATTAAAATCACGCGGTAGTATTCCTTTCTCTCGTGTCTCGTCCGTGAATGTGTATAGCATTGTGCAACTAAACTACCGAACACATCTCAGAAATTACAAAATGATCAAATATTGTTCATATTGTTCTAGCTTTTTTTTTTTTTGATCATTATAAATAAGAGAAAATGTGTGATGATCAATATAAATAGTAAAATTGTGATTGAAATGATGGCACCCAAAAGTGAAATCCCTTCCTCCTCTCCTCGGATCCTCCCCCACAATGTACAACCAAATCCCGTGTATGTTTGGTTTTTAATTGTTTGTGATTAAATATAGTTTTTTTTCCTTGTTGTTAGAATATAGTATTGCGTGAGAATGTTAAGTATAAATAATAAAAAAAAGGGAATATTATGATGAAGAAGATAAAAATAAAGAGTGTGTGATTTCTTCTCTACATTGGAGGAATGTTGATTTACAGAAAATAAGAATGCATTCTTGTTCCCTTTTATTAATTAAAATTTTTGGTTCATTTGACACTTGTTACCAAAAAATTTTGAAAGATACCGCATCGATTATATAATACAGGAGTGATAACGGTGTGTTCATTTATGAGGCAATCGCTTTCTTTGATTTTACCGAATATTGGAAGGCGAGGATTACTTTGGACATGAGCACCACCTTTCGAACCTTTGCAAAGTTCGCATTTACTCTGTGCTTATAAACAGCCTCCACTTGGCGATTCTTTAGTTTGCGTCTACGGGATGGTGACGGCCATGCTCTAGCAGTCATCTCGAATGACCAGTACTTGAATAGATTAACTTTGACAAAGTCTAACACAAAGAAGTAGGCCAATGAAATACAGATGATGCTAACACCCCAGGCCCAACCAATTGCTCCCGAAAGAACACCATATATACAGATAAACATGGCGAAAACTTGTGTACCCATGACGGCGGCAAAGAAGGTTGGTGAAGGAAGATTCTCCCAGAAGTAACCAGACAAGCGGGTGGAAAAGATGACGAAATGTGGGCAGGATGAAATGTGAAGGTACATGATTGTTTCCAGGCGACTGTCGGTTTTACTAATACCGAAGACATCTTTCGCAATGTAGAAGTGAGCAAACGAAGCGGCGGTCAGGAGGCATCCCAAAACGAGTGACAGTGTGATCAATTGACCGAGACGCCATTTATCAGGACGGTGAGAAATTTTGGCGTTGTCCACAGCAATGACGAGGGTGGCGGCATCGTTCAGCAAGGCAATTAAGATCAAAAGGATGGCGTCCATCTGCCAATCCTCGATGAGGGTGATACAGAAGAAGAAGATCAAGAAGTGAACGGTGGAGGTGATACGATAGAGGGCATAGGATCTCATACGTTGGAAGATGGCACGAGAGGTGGTGATACCGTCGACGATAGTGGAAAGACCAGGGGCCAACAGTACGATATCAGCCGCCGATCTCGCAGCGTCGGTACATCCGTGGACGGCGATACCAACGTTGGCTTTCTTCAAGGCTGGGGCATCGTTCACACCATCGCCAGTCATACCGACAAGCAGACCACGCTTTTGCAACAGCTCGACCACACGATACTTGTGTTCGGGAATGACCTGGGCAAAACCGTCGGCACGTTCACAATGTTGAGTCACCTCCTCTTCGGACTTTTCAGGATCAACCAAATGATTGGCGTCAAGGATCACGCGACCCATTCCAAGTCTACGGGCCACCTCTTTGGCGATAATCAATTGATCACCGGTGACCATCTTCACATCGACACCATAGGAGTTGCAGCGTCGAATGGTTTCCGCGGAGTCCGGTCGAGGGGGGTCGAGGAGAGAAATCATGCCGATCAATTCGTAAGTTTCAAGGTCACCGGGAACGGTACGGGCAAGACCGAGGGCACGAAGACCACGCGCAGCCAAAGAGTTGACAGCTCGAACGGCCATCTCATGACCACCGACAAGTTTGATGATGACTTGGGGCGCACCTTTTGCTACTTTAAAAACTTCTTTGGTCTCGAGGTTGGCGACAGTGGCATTGGTCATCTTGGTGGTGGGGTTGAAAGGAACAAAAGCGGTAACTTTGTATCCGGGAACCTCATATTTATTTGGGCGATTCTTGAGGATATCGAGGTTCTCCTCGGCAGCAGTACGAATGGCGGATTCAATGGGATCATTTGCACCAGGTTCGGCGGAGAGGTAAGAGTTAAGGAGGATGTCCTCTTTCGTGAAACCGTTGCACAGGTAGGGTTCGTCGAAGGTCAACTCGTTCAGGGTCAAGGTACCGGTCTTGTCAGAGCAAAGTACGGAAACCGAGGCCATTTCCTCAACAGCTGTGAGACGCTTGACAATGACCTTCTTCGCGGCGAGTTGCTTAGCGCCAACGGCCATGGTCACTGACAACACGGTGGGAAGACCGACCGGGATAGCAGCAATGGTCAAGACCAGCACGTGACCAAGGACGTCGAGGAAAGTTCCGTGTTTGGCCATTTGGTAGATAAAGATGATGCCGACCAAAACCACAGTGATCAGAATCAAAAAGTTTCCAATGGCATTGACGATCTTCTGGAAGTGACCCTGTTCAACGGTGATTGAGATCAAATTAGCGGCACGCCCAATGAAAGTATTACTGCCGGTCTTTGTGACGACAGCCAACATTTGACCCTGCTTGACGATGGACGAGGAGTAAACGGTGCTACCCTTCTTCTTCTCGACCGGAAGGGATTCACCGGTCAAAGCTGATTGATCAATGGACAAAGTGCCTTCGGTTTCACCGCCGGTGACCGAGATACCGAGGAGACGGGCGTCGGCCGGAATAATGTCACCAAGACGAAGACCAATTACATCACCAGGGACGAGTTCAGCAACATCCAAGTCCACGAAATGACCATCACGCCAGACCTTGGCCTTCAACGCGAGAGTTTGCTTCAGAGCATCCAAAGCGCTCTCCGCCCGTGCTTCCTCTATGAAACCGATCAATGCGTTGACAAGAAGCAAAGCTATGATAACGGAGAAGTCGAGCTAATTGAGGTGATCAAACAAATGGGAATGTTAATTTCCAGTTTTTCAACAAACATGGATTGAAACTTGATAAATAAATAAATACCCAGTGCTGCACGACACCAGCGAAGACACCCGCCAACTCGATCAGATATGCGATGGCACCGGTGAAGTAAGATAAGAATTTCAGGATGGGATTCGTTTTGACCTCAGCCAATTCATTACGACCGAATTGTTCCAAACGTTTTTTCGCCTCTTCGGTGGTTAAACCGTGTGAGGGATCGGTGTGAAGTAGAGCTTCTAATTCCGGAGGAATGTCGTCGGCAACTTCAACATGTTCATGCTCTATCAACTCAGTTGGCTTCTCTACCGTTTCGTGCTTTTCGCTGATCTGATGTTTTTCACTAATTACTTCGACGTTTTCCTCGATGATTTCTTCCGTCTCGAATTGTTTTACCTCTGAAGACATTTTTTTTTTTTTTTTTTGTACAATCTATGTGGGGATGAATTACAATGTACAAGGAATCCTTAAAAAAAAAAATAGTGAAATAATAAAAAAAGAAATTCTAGGGTGGAGACCTTTGAACTTTGGGAAAAGGGATCAGATTATTATTATAATTAATACGAATCAACGAAGCAGACAGAGATATCTGCCCCAGCAATCCGCACCTTTCACTAATAAGTCGGAAAAAATAATGGACCCCTTAGTAAAAGGCAAAAAAATTTTTTTGAAAAAAAAAAAAAATCCTGCTTAAATTTCTGAAGAATTCTTTTTTTGATTTTTTGATTTTTATGTGAATCGGAAAAAAAAACCAAGGGGGGACTGATAAAGAGAAATTTTGTTGAGAATTAAAAATCTTTCGTCAGTCTACAAACATAATAATAAAGGTTTTTTGGGAAAAAAAAAATTTTTTTTTGAGAGGAGATAAGTGGGTCGCGGTTTTTTATAGTGTTGCGTTTCAAGTAACAATCTTGATAAAAATTTATGTACAGTATATCCGGGGGTACAAAGGAAAAAAAAAAGAAAAAGCTTTTAACACACATTAATACAAGCGTTATACTGTGTGACATTGAAGTTGATTTTAATTGCAAAATAATAGTGCCCACATAAATAAAACGCCATAAAATTTTTTTTGTACGTGCCGATACATCTACAAAATACATGCAATATATGCCTGTAAACCTTATCATATATATGACACATCCTGCAACCCGACAAATTCATCCATCCATTACATAAAAAAAAAAAAAAGAAAAGAAATATATGTATATACGTGTATTTATATATATATATATATATATACTGTGTATGTGTATGTATTAAATATAATAGAACTAAACTTAAAATTATCATCATTCAATTGGAAACAATAATGACCATAATAATATGTAAACCATTTTATTTCCAGTATTGGTGACGGTTGATTTTAGTCAATAAAAAAAAAAAAAGAAAGCGTTACTCTGGTTCCCTGCTTCCCATATAGGGCATGAAATGCAAAAAGGTTGGCCGCTCCGCACCATGAACATCTTTAGCTTATGATTGCGACGAAGAATCAGAAATTGCGGTGATTGAACATCCACAAGATAATCTAAATGATTTTGGACCAATTGATTTCGACACCTAGTCACCGAATCAATCGAGTTTTTGGGAGCGTGCGGAGAGAGGGATAGAGAGAGGGCATGACGCGATCGAAAGGGGCATTCATTGCATTGTCTCTTCGGCACGTGTGATCCGTGCTCCAGCAACACAATCCCGTCGTTTGACACCATGCGCTGGGTGCTAGTTGGTCTTCCTTCTTTTGGACATGTGTGCATTCAAACACAGAAAAAAAGAATGAAAAGAAAAAAAAACTCGAAACACTGGAATCCCCAGTTATTGCTAATTTAAAAAAAGACCACGTTTCATACTTGTGTTTGTTTGCTGACTCCATTTGCACCTATAATTTGGATTCTCAAAAATATAATCACTGTAATTTGATTAAAAACTCCACGAATGCAAACTTCAAATAATAATAATAATAATAATAATAAATTCATCACGCGGCATTAAAAAAAGTGCACACGCACGTTGCTAATAAAAAGATTTTAATTTCCCGTTTCACACGTAAGGTTCGTTCACCATCTCTTCCTCATGTGCACAGTTTCATTTCAGATCTCGAAATTATATTTCACCGTCCGTTATCACACTGCCATCTGTGCGACATGTCGGAAAGCTCCACTCGCAATTCTATTATTATCATTGTTATTATTATTATTTTAAAGGTTTGATTGGTCTAGTTGATGGTTCATCCTCCACGTGATCAGAAGCAATCATCGTAAATCGGTGTGATGTCTTTAATTGTCATAGCGGAGTGGCGTTGGCATCTACCGTCAGTGAACCAATTAGGATCAACCCTCACGGTGTGATGAGGATAAACAGATCAAATTTGTGCCACAACACGCTTGCACTTACCTTTTTCTCATTATCGCACTTGGGAGTTGCACCAGGGAAAATTAAATGATGCGATCGTCCGTATCTTGCCGGATCCCGCAAAATTTCCCCCCTCCTTTGCCGAAGGAGATGTGTGTGTGCATTATGTATGATACATGAGGAGAGGAAAATTTTGTTTTTCACACACACACACACTCAATTCCTCATTTATTGTTTGCCTGTCAAAATCGAGAATCTTTGGAAAATAGATATGTCAACAGGATGGCCTTCCTTCTGTTTTTGTTAATGAGGAAACGTTGTTTTGTTGAGCTCAGATAAAAAATTGATCGACCGGTATTTTGCGAAAGGCTGCATAAAGATGTTTGGATACCACGTAAAACAAAATCCCTATCGAAGGCATAAAATTTGAACACCTGTGCATCAATGTTTTTGTACTCTCTTGATTACCGACAGATATTGTAGATAGATATCAATTGGAAAAGACCGGCGTTACTTTTACTGTTCTAAAAACGTCTGTGACATGCAAAGAAATCGATACATGCATACACACACGTTATCATCAATTCACCACTGCATCTATATCTTAAAAGAAAAAAAAAATAATAATAATAATTACCATATTTCGCATTGCCAAGCACACACACGTTGTTTAGAGTTCCCTTGCGGGCATTTAAAAAAAAAAAAAAATATATACACATTGTGTGTTTAAAAGTGATCGGACATCTGGAGTAATGATAACTTTGGTTTCCATTTGGTTTCGCTATCTCTCGTCAGAATGAAATGTTAAAGGAAGATTGGTGTTATCGTGAGCATCGTACTTAATTAAAATTACAGGACTATAGGAGTTAGATTAATTAACGATGCCCGTAACACAGCATTGAAGCAATTGAGTTGTATCATAATTTTTATGTGCATGCCAAAAAAAAAGTTTTTCCTCTCTCATGAAAAATTCCTGTTCGGATTCCTGATTTTCTCTCCTATCGTCGTGTGTTATAGCCTGCGAGTGGAAATGATTTCACGCACAAGAGATGGAAATTTCTGCATCGATTCGCAAAAACTTTGTTAGCTCAAAACTGTTATCTTAGATGTTACATAATCAAAATTCGATCACGTTTTCTTCTTGACTATTAATAATCCCGGAACCAATGGTGGCATTCAATGATCCTCTGACTAGACTGAAAAAGGTGGAACCATTGTTCATTCGTTTGCTGACGACGCTGACGACATATCATCTTCTTTGTTTCAGATGATCAGTCGTCATTGTATCTTCCTGACATCTAATCACCACTTGATGCACATGAATCTATGCTTCTGGATAACCCGAGAAAATGACTCAATTGTGCTTTTTTTATGATCAGGTATTTCTCGAATTAGAATTATGCCAGAGAACCAATATGAATTCGTGCCATCGCACAAACTATTGTTGCCTGAGAGTTTCTCCGCAAAATACAGTAACAAAGAAACAAACCAACACACCGTAGTATGAGATGCTTTGAGTTATTTTGGTCGTCTGAAGGTGCCATCTTAATTTGGAAAATAACCAAAGAGATCCAATCGCCAACGATTAACCTTGATGTGGTTCATTTTACGTAGTGTTTACGGTAAAGGTGGTAAACGTGCGCGTGACCGAAGATCGATGTGACCGAGCGGGGTGAGCACGGAATATGTGCTTACCTATGAAATTTCTCTGTAAAGTATCGGTCCCCTTCCCTCTTTCTTCTTCTTCTTTCTTCTCCTCCTTTCTTTGTCCGTCACATCTCAGAATCGACCTGTTATCAGCCACAGTGTGTCGTGTGTCTGATGAACCATGCACATTCGTGAGACAATATAATTTGTGCTACATCATAACTTGAAACTGTTTCATTCATTTTGCACCGTGCTACCCCCAATATGACAATTGAACACCGCGATCAAATTACCGATTGTCCAGGCACACGCATAACGCACTTCTTCAATAACGGAATCGTTTTTGCTTCTTCGAGGGATCCTCGCGAAAGACGAAACGAGTCCAATACGGAAAAAGAACTTTCTCGTCGACGATAATGACTCGGGCACGCATGCAGATTCGAGTTTCAACCGACAATTCCACATCCCGTTAGAGCTCATCATTTGAATTTTGGGAAACACTCGGTTTTGCCTTAAATGTCATCGACATCTGTCCACGTATGTTTCATATTACACACCAGGTTGTCTAAGGTCACTCATGCGTTAGACCGTTTCATAAGCACAAGAAGATAGCGACAGAATAATAAGTAGTGCTATCTCATTTGTTAAGACTGAAACTCTTTCCTTCTCACAGATGATGACCAAAGAGGTCAGACTTCAAAAGAGTCCCAATCAGGATTCATAATATGAGAACATAAGGTGTCGACATCAAACAAAACTGCTGTGATAAGACTGTTTGGTCCATTCGCGGTCAAGGACACGATTTCGTGTTGTATGCAAATAAATGCGCCTGTGGATTTCGTCAATTTCAGGACACCTCGTTCAAATTAAAATGGGATTTCGGTGACGTCAACTGCGATTAAGAAAATGCTCTCATTCTCATTACCCTTTTCCGTTTTCGCTCACGTGACACACATCCATAGCGAGAATGCATTACCCGTCACTCGGTTATGCCAAGACTAACACAAATTTGGAAATGCTAAACGAGATGCCAATCAGGAATGTGGGACAAGGGATTGTTCGTTTATTTCAGTGTGCAAATTAAGTGTGGTACTGTTTAACGGGAAATATCAGATGCCAAAATGCGTGCCCTCAACTTCCAGACTGGTTCGTGCTGAAAACCGGTGGAGAATGTAATGAGCGCACGAACGCTCCATCAAAACCAGGCCGGGTTCGGACCCTTTTTGATAATTGCCTCCAAGAAAACTTCACAATTTCCTCGCGCCACGGATCTCTGATTTTTGATTTTTAGAATTTCTCCTTTAGGGGGGGGGGGGATTTCCATCACTTGTGGAATTTCTTGGCATGTGCTATGACGATATCTTTACACAAGCGATTTGAACGCCAAGAGATTTGTTGGATAAGCTGAATACTTGTACTACCTTTCAATGCAATGAATACGAAGGAAACAATGAGACGAATCACGGGTCGATTTTTTTTTTTTTTTTAATGGTAGATGGATGGTAGATGGATGGATATCAGGTTATTATTATTATTATTATTATTATTATTATTATTATTATCATATTTATTTATTGTTCTTACCACACGCAATGTATTTATAAAAATGCATACCATTTAAACACCGTAAACAATACAGCAAGCATATTGACAAAAAAAAATAAAAAACTTTCTCACCGTCATCACTTTGATTTTTCACGATCAATATCCCTATCTCGAAACTCACTCATTACATTAAGGTTCTATTTGGATTTTTCAAATCTACAAAAATATTTGGATTTCCCTATAAATATTGATGTATGCTGTATATGATTTTAATTATTTTTAGCTACGCGTTGGAGCTCGAGCTACACGAATCTTGAGTTAAATGAAATGGCCCGAGTTGCACGAAAATAGCTTGGGGTCGTGCTTAACCTAACGGTTAATAGCGAGATTGACTCGAATCGCGCGAAATTAGTTTCTGTATAAAGTGCCAAATTAGTTTAGATGAGTGAAAAAAAAAAAAAAAAAGAATTGATAAAATTATACAATATAGTTTTGGGTTTCAATTCTTGAATCTGAAAATTTACAAGACGATTATTTCGTACACCGCTTATCATCCATCATTCTATTTGGACTTTAGATCCAGTGATCTTGATGTTGCGAATTCAAGCGCGAAATTGGTTTTTGTACAAAGTGTCAAATTAGTTCGGATAGGCAAAAAAAAAAAAAAAAATAGAGGCGGCAAGACGATAGTCCCTTGGGCTTCACTTCTGAGTTTCGGAAATTAATAAGACGATTGTTTTGCATAATGGATATTTTGCATCATATTATTTGAATTGTTTTGAATGTCGCAAATCTAGGCGCGAAATTGGCTTCTGTATAAAATGTGAAATTGGTTAGGATGTGCAAGAAAAAAAAAAAGAATGGTTTTGGGGGTTTTCTAATCCTTGGGCCCGGAAAATTTATAGCCGATTATTTTTATATTTTACATGATGCGTGCTATATATCACACGTCACGCCAGTTTGGTTCTAATCATAATATGATGGAAGCGTGAAATTGTTTTTTGCATAAAAATGCGAAATTAATTGAAGTAGGCAAAAAAAAGAATTGGTAAGTTATAGTTTAATTCTTAGATCCGGAAATCTCCAAGACGACATCACATGCTATTATTAATTTGGTTTTAAATTTGATGTATTTGAACGTTTCAAATTTAAGCGCGAGATCGGTTTCTGCATGGAAAATGGGTGATCAAATCATCGTTTTTTTTTTTTTCTT